GGGCGAGGGCAGCGCGGCAGCTGTAGGTCACGGATAATGTCACTCACGAGGAATGCCCCCTCCCCCTCCCCTGCGCCCGAACAGGGGAAACTTTTGTCTGGCGAGGGAGGGGGTTAGAGGCCGGGTCCCAGCTTCGGTAGGGTAAGGCCGCCGGACCGGTTTTCTCCAGGCTAGGGCGGCCTGATTTCCAACTTCCCTCCCTCCCAGATTCTCGGGAGCAGCGTGTCCCCCTGTTGATTGCTGCTCTTTAATGCCTGGGATGGAGGTGAGGATGGGGTGCCGTGGGACCTGGGAGCCTGGAGGGCAGGCCGTGCATCCCCTACCCAGATCCGATTACCCGGGCGGCGGTGTGCCAGACCCAGGGGATACAGCCCCATGCCCATCAGCCCCAGTGCTTCTAAAAGGAGCCCCTCGCCGCCCCCCCTCCACCCCACCCCAGAGCCCGGGGCAGTATTGCCCCTCCGAGATACAGATGGCGCTTTTGGGTGTCATGTGACCTTGGGCTGGTTCCTTGCCTTCTCAGAGCCTCAGTTTCCTCACCTGTAACACTGGCGCGTGCCTTCGAAAATGGTGTCATATTTACATTCAACAAGTATTGACTGTGTGTCTGGGATGGGCGGGCACTGGGTTAATTGCTTTAAGGCATGATCTCATTGAATCCTCCCACGTCATTATTGACCACAGTATACAGAGGGGGAAACTGAGTCGTACAGCTAGTCAAGCCCAAGGTCAGGTAGGTAGGAAGTGGTGGAGCTGAGAGGTGGCACCCTCTTCTAACCTGTGTCTCCACCACAGAGCTCTACAAGACCTGATCACTGAACTCGGTTTCATTTTCAGTTGAGATTAGAGGACACCTGCCCCCACCCCTGCCTCATTGCCCAGACCTGACTTCTGCCCAGTTTGGCTCCTGGTGAGGTTTCTGTGCCCTGGCCCCGGTGGGACTTGAACCTGGGGCTCTGTCATCGCACAGGTTCTGGTGCCAGGCTGGGTATCTGGAAGGAGGACTCTCTCTCCTCTTGTGGCTGCACAGAGCCCATTTCCCTGGCTCAGTTTGGGGACCGTTGGGAGCTTTGTCTAGTGGTCTCTTCCCAGCACCCAGCAGTCTTCTCTCTCCATTCGGACCTGGATACTTTCAGATCAGCAGGGGGCAGATGTGGGGCAGAGAAATTGCCCTTGGACACATGGGAAACCCAGAGTCAGGGGATTTCCATCCAAGATTGCTCTGCTCCCAGTTGGCCATCACCAGCAAGGTCCGCATTGCTAAACTAAGGGGCTGGGCTGGTTAAGGGTCCCGCCTCTGGGTGGCCCGGCCCCAGGGGTTCCTGATGACAGTAATGGGGATCGGATGTGTGAACCTTGAGCAATGCCCAGATTGCAGGAGCCTAATAAAACACACATGGGACTACAGAATGCCCGAGCCTGGCACCGGCTGCGGGGCACTCTAGATCCTGGGCAATACCTCGAGAGTGGACATACAGGGTGGCCCAGGCTTCCACTGCCCTTTGCATCCAGGCTGTCTGAGTCTTCCGGGGGGGTGATCTGATTCTAATGGGGGCCTGGAGTCACTTAAACAGCGAGAGACAAATTGCAGTGTAGTAAATGGCATCTTGAAACCATGGGCTAGGGGAGAGCGTGGTAGACAATGAAAGAAGTTGGGGGGCCGTTTATGCACTACTCCCCTCACTGTTCCCAGGGGTGTGTACTGCACTGCCTCTGGTTCACAGGGCCTGCAGGGTTTTCCTGGACCCTAGGACTAGAGGTCCCTCTGGGATCAGAGTTCACTGTCATCATGTCAAATGATAAGAGTGGGGATACCACTACTTAGCTGGACTCCGAGAAGTAGGAAGGCACCTGGTGCTGTAATGGCTACGCTCTCAGGTGCTAACCAGAGGGCCGACAGTTCGAACCCATCCAGCAACTCTGTGGTTGAAAGGCTTGGCGGTTTGCTTTTGCAATAATTTAACAAATCAAAAAAAACCTCACCCACTCATCGGATCGATGCTGGTTCACAGCCACCCTATAGGTCTGGGTGAAACTGTCTCTGTGAGTTTCTGAGATCATAACTCTTGAAGTAGAAAGCTTCATCTTTCTCTCTTGGAGCTGGCTGGTGGTTCTGAACTGCTGACCTTGCTTAGCATGCCATTGCATAATCACTGTGCCAGGGGTCCTCAAACTTTTTAAACGGGGCCAGTTCACTGTCCCTCAGACCCGTTGGCAGGCTGGACTATAGTTTTTTAAAAAAAAACTATGAACAAATTCCTATGCACACTGCACATATCTTATTTTGAAGTAAAAAAACAAACGGGGCAAAAACACCTGGCAGGCCGGATAAATGTCCTCTGCTGCCCGCGGGCCGCAGTTTGAGGACGCTTGTACTATGCCATCAGGGCCTAGAAAATTCTGTAGGGGCAGTTCTGCTGTCATATGAGGTCGTTGTGAGTCAAACTCCATTGTTGACCCCGACAGCAGAAAAATCAGTGATTAAGTGAGGGGACTGAAAAGCTGAAGGAGGGAGCTTCTTTCTTCCAGTTAGGACAGGAGGAGATTTCTGTGGGAGACTCAACAGATGAAGGGAGGGAGGGAGTCACAGGCAAGACAAGATAGACAGCGAGCCTCCCGTCACAAGGGGTAATCAAGGAACACTTATGATTATAAGTCAAGATGTGGTCGAGATCGTTGAAGCATGGGCCAAGAAACTTGGAGATGGCCTCTGGTCTGCACAGCCCACAGTTCTCTCTACCTTAGGCTTTGGACTTGTATGGCCTATCTTCCGTACTGGTCAAAGCCAGGCCTTTCAGTCCCTAGAGAGAGGCTGACTTCTGCTGGCTAGAAATGTAGTTTTGGGTATGGCTTCAAATATCTGGACTGTTTGGAGGACTTGGACATTCTTGACTTGAAATGGAATGTTCGGGTAATTTGTTAAATATGTATGGAAAAATGACTATGGCTGGGGTGGCCAGGGGGAACAGAGTGGGGTGAGGTGCTGCTGGTGCCTGCCCTGGAAAGGCTGCTGGCCTGAGGGAGGGGAGCCAACGAGGGTCTGAGTGACGGCTGTGAGCAGGAGGTGAGCAGTGCTGGGTGGGCTTGGGAAGGTGGGCTGGTGGGTGAGGTCCACAGGGCTCTGTGGAGAAAGGGTTTGAAAGGACGGGCAACGAGGCATCAAGATTGGGCCAGGGGGAGCCTGCAGTGCCCTGCTGAGGAGTTTGGATTTTTCTCTGTAGTTGGTGGAGAGGACGGAGGGTTGTGGCCTGTTACTGTGCCTTGTGCCAGGCGCCGTGCCAGGCCTTGTACAGACACCCCATTGAAACCGCACAATACTCTTGCAAAGGGGCTGGTACCACCCCCACCCATTTTCAGCGGGGGCATGGAGGCTCAGAGGTTGAATCACTCACAGAGCTGGATTTGAACCCAGGTTCGCCTGTCCCCAGCCTGGGCTGTTTCGGCCCTGTTGTGCTGCTGCTCTCCGACCACTGGGCCAAAGATGGGGGCAGGGCTGGCAGGAGTGAGGCCAGCTTGGATGGTGCTTCTCCTGGTCAGCTCTCTGCCGACTGGCTCAGGCAGTGGGACGGGGAGGAAGGAGGCTGTCGGGCTCTACAGCTGCCTTGGTCATCAAAGGTGGCCTGAGGTTTGGGAAAGGAGTTTTAAGAGGCAGTG